TTAACAAGACATAGCTTCGCAAAATAAAAAGAAGAAGAAGAGAAAGAGTGACTGAAGAACAAAATACCAAGGAAATAAAAGGATTTGCAATTAGATGATTTAAAATTAATTAGATGATTAAAATTAACTGTATCTTAAGAAGTGCTTAACACTCTGTAAAGGTAAAGGTTCTCCTCGCACACATGTGCTAGTTGTTCCTGACTCTAGGGGGCGGGTGCTCCTCTCCATTTCAAAGCGAAAAACCAGCGCTGTCTCCGTGGTCATGTGGCCGGCATGATTCAATGCCGAAGGCGCACAGAACGCTGCTCCCTTCCCCACCAAAGGTGGTTCCTATTTTTCTACTTGCGTTTTTTTAGCTTTCGAACTGCTAGGTTGGCAGAAGCTGGGGCAAGTCACAGGAGCTCCCTCCTTTACGCGGCGCTAGGGATTCGAACCGCCGAACTGCCGACCTTGCTGATCGACAAGCTCAGCTCTAAATGATAATGTTGACATTATCCGGTTGTTCACTAAAGCAAACTCTGTACAGTGAAAGATCCCATTCTTTTTTTTAAGTTTTCAATCTTGGCAACTTTGAGTTATGGATTTCAACTCCCATAATTCCCCAGCCAGCATGCTTTAAGATGTATATACTTTATTTCCCAGCATGTCCGCTGGGAAGTTCTTGGGAGTTGAACTCCACACGTTTTACATAGTTGCTAATGAAAAATGCTATTTTAGGCTATAAAAGGGGTTGAAATTGAGTGGCATTGCCTTGATTGGCACTTGGGGGGGAATTCAGTTTTTAACCCTAGGGGCATCTCATTTTAAAAGCAAAACCAAAATTGAAAATAACTTATTTTTTTCTTCTTCCTTCCTTAAGCAAATTATTCGGCTCTGGAGCACCGGCGATGAGGTTGTGAGAGTTTTAGCTTTTTTGATACTCAACAAATTTTGCCGGTATAAACAGGAAGCTTATTTGCCCTCCGTTCTTAAGGTAAGATTAACAGAGTTGGAAGGGACCTTGTAGGTCATCTAGTCCAACCCCCTTCCCCCAAGCAGGAGATCCTACACCATTTCTGACAGATGGCGCCTGAAAACCCATGGAGTATAAATTCATTTTTTAGGCTGGATCAGTATTTCCACCCTTACAAAATTAAAAACTCTGGGCTTTGGGGCAAAACTTCGCACCGTAGTGGCTTCAATTATTACTCTTTTGGATTTGATGGACGAAAGGAATAGCTGCTATTAAGGCGTTTTCCCAAGTTCTCTCGGGTTTTAAAAAAGAGTCATTGTGCTTCTTTTGATGTTTGTCGGCGCTCCAGTTTTGCTGTTGTGTACTTTGAAGCTCAGTTGTTGACTTTCGTTCGCAGCTACAGCAAAATCAAAAAAATGGCATGGTTTATGTCACAACACAAATTTGTCTTCCTTGAAATAACTGGTAGCCCTCAACGTAAAACTATAAAATCTTCAGCTCGAAATTTATGTTGCTAAGTTAGTTAGTTTACTGTATTTTTCGGAGTATAAGACGCACCTTCCCCCCCCCCCCCCCAAGAGAGGGTGAAAATTTGTGTGTGTCTTATACACTGAATACAATATTTTTGACTTACTGAAACTCTGCCCTGCTTTGCAAAAATGGCCATGCATAGCCTTTAGGAGGTTTCCAGAGTGCTCCTGGGGGTGGGAGGGCAAAAATGAGCAAAGAAATGGACTGTTTTTGCCCCCCCAGCCCCCAGAAGCATTCTACAAGCCCCCCAAAGTTCTGCATACCCTTTAAAAATTTTTTTTGCAAAAAAATGAGGGGTGCAGAGGGTTTGGGAGGCATGCAGAGTGCAAAAACTTTTTTTTTTAATTTACCTCTTCAAAATCATGGTGCGTCTTATAATCCGAAAAATATGGCACTTCTGTTCTGCAAGTGTAC